TTCACATTTTTGTGCATTATTACATCATATTATAGGAACAATTTTATGTCCTTTTATTGTCTCATTTCTATCATTAAAAATGCCTTCATTTATAGTTTGAACTCATTGTTTACTATTTCACACCATAGGTATGCTTAACTTTATAATTTTCCTGTTTGGGGATATTTTGGTTATTTATTTCCACTTTTTAATCATTTTAAATAGCACTATGACAAACATCTTTAAATACAAATTTTTATTTAAATTTCTCATTATTTCATTAGGACAGCATTCTAAGACTGGAATTAATGGTTGAATGGATAAAATAGTTCAGTCTTTTTTCCCTTGTCTCTCTTAATAACATAACTTATTTATAAAGATTTTTAAATTCACTATCTCTACCCCCAGCTCCTTTCTTACTTGAACCCAGTCCAGTCAGATTTCCATCTCTACCACTGCATTGAAATCACTCTATAAAGGTCACCAATGACTTTAACATTCACACTCCAATGATCCATTACCATTCTTTATCTCACTGACTCTCTCAGAAGAATTTGATGTCAGGGCTATTTTCTCCTTGAAACACCATCTTTGCTTGAACTCTGGGCTGCTGCACCTCACAAGCCTCCTCCGTCTCCTTTTCTGGTTCATCCTCCTCTAGCTGACCTCTGGGTATTTTGCTGTCTCAGGGCTCACTCCTCAAACATATACTCTGTCTACACTCACTCTATAAGGATCTCATCCAGGAAGGTGGCTTTAGTTACCATCTACACACTGATGACTCCCAAACTCCACACCAGCCCTTTCCATTGAGAGCTGGGTTCATATGTGCTATAACCTGTGTAGCATCTACACTGAGTATCTAACTGGAACCTAAAATTTAAGGTATCCAAACATAATGCCTGATTCCCTCCCATAGCTTCTCCCCTCATTTGTCCCCATCTCAGGAAAGTGGTTATATAACTCACCTAGTTACTACAGCCAAATATCCTGGGACCTTCTTTAACTCTTCTTTCTTTTCTTTCTCTAACACCCCACATTGTCAACAAACAAACCATATAAGATTTATTTTCTGTCAGGAAAAGTCTGACTTCTTTTTTCAATTCAAATAAGAATGTTACAAAATGGGCCCCAGGGACAACCACTCATCTTACAACTGTAATTCTAAGACAGACAGATGGATAAGGTAAGGGACCTTGCCTTGAGGTTGTTGCCTAGTCGAAATATGTTCCTGTCCTAGTTGAAATACATTTCCTTCTTAGCTGTTAAGAACCCTCCCTCAGAAGCCAGAAGCTAATAAATTGTCTCCTTATTTAGTGCCTTGGATATTTTTTGGCACCGTGGAGGAATGCATCATTTAGGACGGTCGAGGTGCAAACTTTTCCTTGGAGGGTGGGTGGGAAGAGTGATGGTGGAAAGAAAAATAGAAAAGAAGCAGCAGCATGGCATCTAGACCTCAACCATGTTCTAGAGCAGACCAGTTCTAGGAAAGTGTGTGTGTGTGTGTGTGTGTGTGTGTATGTGTGTACATTCATGTATGTTGAGGATTGGGAAAATGGATTCCTTTAGAATTGCCTACACCTGTGTAACCCTGAGGAAGTGTTCATGTACTTCTAAGAGCACAGGACCCCAGCTTGAAGACTTCTGTTCTAAACAAGGGCACAGTCACAATCACTTTTTTCACCAGTAACCTCATATCCAGAGAGACACAAGTTATTCAACATACTTACTGAAAAGTCATTCCCCTCAACTCCACCACTAATTTGAAATGCTGTCTTTATCATTTACTAAATTTCCATGCAATTGGGCCTAATTACTAACTTGCTATTCCATTAAATCTGCCTACTCTTAATTTGAACTTAAGAATTTTCTTTCTGGCCGGCCCGGTGGCGCACTGCTACAGTGCGCCGCTTGGGAAGCGAGGAGGCGCTCCCGCCGAGGGTTCGGATCCCACATACAGACCGGCCACTCACTGGCTGAGCGAGGAGCGGGGGCAACACCGAGGGTTGCGATCCCGTTGCCAGCCTTGGTCCGGTACGGGCGCGACACTGAGGGTTGCGATCCGTTGCGGTCACGAAAAAAGACAAAAAAAAAGGGAAAAAAAAATAAAAAATAAAACAAAAAAAAAAAAAAAAAGAATTTTCTTTCTTTTTTCTTTTAATTTTTGTGCAACAGAAATTGTGCTCTCTTCTTCCATGTTTTCTTTTAATTAGTTTTCTTTTGACTTACAAACAATATGAATGCTTTTTGAAAATATTGTTTATATTGCAACGTCTTTTAGTAGTTGTCTTTGTTCTCTTTTAGGTTTTCTGATATATAATCATTTTATCTACAAGCATGCAAATGATATTTTACCTCTCTCTTTTCAATTTTTATGCTTGTAATTGTTTTCCTCTGGGCTGACTGCACTAGCTCGTAGCTCTAACACAAAGGTAAATAGTGGTAGAGGTAACAAACATCGTAGAAAAGTTCCTAACGCTTCCCCATAAGTAGGTGCTGGTTTGGGGTTCTGACATATGCATTTTT